GAAAGCAACCCCCCCCCCCCAGGTTGCCAGGATGAGAGGAGGCTAGGCCTCATTATTGCATACTGAAGAGGTAGCCTCGCTGTGTGACCTTGGGTGAGTCACTCAGCATCTCTGAGCCTCTCATCTCCAAAACGGACAGCCATAAATTTGTCATCAGGATTAAATGAGCTGATATGTCTACACTGGACAGCGCAGTGCCTGACCCACAGTACGCTCTGTCTACACGGGAGCTATTATTACCTACCATTGGCATCTTGAAGGAAGTGTGCTTTCCCTCTGCTCAAGATTCCGGACGCAGGGAGGTCAAAGCCAGCGACGACTCCTCCCTCTCTCTGCAGTGCCCTGTCTGCAGTGGCAAAAGGGGGAGGACTTGTGAGCCACCCTGCTGGCCATGCAGGCCCCAGGGGCACCTTCTCCCTCCCCTACCCCCAGGCCCTTCCTCCGCCCACAGCTTGGCACATGAGGAGGACATGGCAGATGGCTGCCCGGGTGTGAAAAGAGGCTTCTTTTCTTTTTTTTTAAAGTAATGTTTGCCTGAAACCTGTTCCTCTCAAGATTTATTATTAGGAGCCGGGCAGATGGTTCCAGCGTATCAGTAACCTTCCTGCTCCCTGTGTTCCCAAAGAGGGGGCAAATGGCATCAGGGCAGTGTGTCCCGATAGGGTTGGAGCAAGATTCGCCCAGCTTCGGCTGTGGGAGGACCCCCGCCCTAAAGCAAGAGCCAGTGGTACTGAGTGGCATTTTTATCATGTCATAACTTGAAACTCATTTGGTCTGTAGGTGCTCAGAGGAGGGGGCGACAGTGTTAACCCTACAAGCCCTCCAGGGCTGTGAGATCTCCTGCACCCCAACTCCCAGGAGGAGCCTGTAGAAGCAGAGCCAGAGCTGCACAACCTGGTGGAATGTTAAACACGAGCCTGGGGCACTAGCCAAGCCGGGATGTAGTAACACCCACAAATTAAAAACAAAATCGGGGGATCATTATGGGGTGAAATGGAAGTTTGTTGGACTTTCTTGGAGTTATTTCACACACTATAATTTATGTGTAAGTGGGGGGGGGCGCATGATATTTTCAAGTTTAGGGCAGCCCAGAGTCTGGATAGGCTGGGGACAGCCACGTCTCTGCCTCTTCCCAGAAGGGGTCGCTGTGGAGCAGCAGGTGCAGCCCCGCGCGGGGAAACTCACGCGGGAGCCTGCAGAAGCGCTGCTGCGGCGTGTCCTCCGCGTGGGTGCGTGGGCCCCAGGTGCGGGCGCTCTCGGACCCCTGGGAGAGGCGCCTTTGTGACCCGCACAGAGGGGGCGTTCTCCCCTGGAACGCGCTGGGAGGGCGCAGGGCCCTTAGGTGGGGTTCACAGAACAGCTCGTGCGTGGGAAGCTTTGGGGGAAGGGGGGACGACACACTCCGCAGCGACCCCCCACCGGCCAGCTGCACCCTTAGGACGCTGAGTAACTGCCCGACTCCATAGGCGCTCTCCTTCCCTGACTCACCCGCCGCCCTTCCCTCTCCTTCGCCCGCATCCCCACTATCTCCTTACCGCGCCCCACCTTCCGCGCTCTCACACTCACGCACACTTACCTGCGGGGTATTTGTTTCACATGCACTAACTCAAAGGAACCCAATTCTTGAGAGAGAAATAATTTAAGAGAACTTGCCCAGTGCAGGGGAATCTGCCCGTGCTTTCTCCAGGAGCACCCAGCCCACCCTCGGCGAGCATGACGCGGGTGGAACCCCAGTGGGACCCCAGTCACCAGGGGCTCCTGGCCTGAGCATTTGTCACTGGCCTAAGCAAGTTTGGCAGTTTGAAAGATAAACATTTTTTTAAACAAGTGACCCTGAAATACAAGCCAACCGAACTTCCTCTGGGGCTGGGAGCACTGGTTTTCTAGGTCAATTTTTATTCCATGTGAGTTCCACCCTCCCTCCTAGTCCCTCCAGCGAGCTGCGGCTCAACCGCGCCGCGCTCTCCGTTCTCTTACCCCTGAGCTCTGGGGACAAGCGGGAGCCTGCTTTTTATAGAGAAAGTTCCCGCTCGGTTTTCTGATTGGTCCATGTTATGCAAATGAAGAATCCAAATTTGCACAGTCTGATTGGTCAGAGCAGTTTCGATTGGCAGGAGCGAGTCTCAGCCCATTGGTCCAAAGATGATGCCAGGAGTTCCTTTGAGAGCTGGCAGGAGCACGTGCACGAGGCTGAGAGCCCAGTCTGTGGCTTTTCCCTGAAATGCAGGCCTCTGGCTGGCAGACTCTGGTTATCAATTTGTGCCCAGTTAGTCACAAGAAGTCTTTCCTTCTCAAGGTTCATGAGTGTTTTGGGGCAAGCATAAAACCATCCTCATTTTACAGATGAGGAAACTGAGGCTTGGAGAAACAGTGACTTTTGCAGTAAGTGAGGGAGCCAATATTTGAACCCATGGCTGTCTGTCTCGTCTCTAGAGCCCCATGCTTTACCACAACCCTGAGGGAAGCCACAGCTCCAAACCTGAGCGGTTCTTCTGGAAGCTGATATGGACCATCCCTATGACACTTAAAGGGCCAATCTAGCCCTCAGCTCCATACATAGCCCAGTGACTCACACATTTCAAGCGTCAGCAACTGATAGATGATTAAGTTCAATTAGGTTCAGGACTTGTTAAAAATAGGCTTTCCGAAGAAGGATTTACTCTCTCTGTCTTTATGGGCACAGATCTCAGCATCCCCCATGCAAAGAAGTGCAAGGCTTTTAAAATTAGAACATGCCAGAATCGATTCTGCTAAAGGGATCTTTAGCTCCATCAGTGGGGCTTGGAGCGCAGTGAGATGCCAGCTTGCCAAATGATGAGGCAGCGCTGAGAAAGGTTGGCGATAGCAGAGTCTACAGAATGCAGGAGGAAATGAAAATCAAGCTGCAGAGTGGCTAGGCCAAGGTGTCTGGCCACAGGCCAGAAAGCTGATTGTCCAAGGGACTCTGTGACTGCAAGGATCAGAAACTCACTGGAAATAATTCTAAGTGATTTTTTTTTTTTTTTTGGCCTCTCAGCATCTGTTCCCCCTTCCCCCTTCCTAGAAGATCTCAATTTATTCAGGTAACCATCCCTCTCCCATTCAGTGTACATGACCAGGAGAAGTTTCTCTCTCTCTCTCTCTCTCTCTCTCTCTCTCTCTCTC